CCCGTCCATCGACGCACATTCATAACCACTCGGCTACCTCACCGACCTTCACGTGTCTACCTCTACTCAACTGTCCATTCCACCGGCACCCACTTGTACCTATCCTCTTTACACTCCTTTCCCCACCTACACCTACACTCAGCATTCGTCTGCCTATTAATGCCATGTCGAAATTAATTTCCATTTTCGTGCTCAACTTTCCGGTGCTGAACTTTCCTTGTGCTTATCTTTCCGGTGCTTAACTTTCCGTGCTTATCTTTCTCTGTGCTCATCTTTCCTCGTGCTCAACTTTCACCAATCCGCAAGTTTTACCCGACCAGAAAAGGTATCGTCCTCAATGAAAAAGTGTTAGTCACGGATCATGTCTAAGATTCAGAAATGTTAAGTACATTTATATATATATATATATTTTTCTTTTATCCTCTGTAAGAGAACTGGATATTGTACGGTATAATATCCTACATGATTTATCTTTTCTATAAATTGAAAATATGAATTTCTTCATTCTCCGCTTATCTTTTATTTATAATTCAGATCGAGACGAACGAAGGAGAAATGCGTTCATCTCGACCTGAGATATAAATAGAAGGATGGTACATAAGACTACAAAAAATATTTCTTCTCAATGCTGTAGATTTAATGTCTGCTAGTAGAAAAGATAGATGAGTACTTTTATTAAACCCAATTCTCGAAAAACTTGGGCTGCAATTATTCTTTGTATGTTAATGATAATTTCTAAAGGTGCTGAGAGCATGAGTCGCGGACTTCTAATAACGTCAGTTTTCGATCACTTTAGTTAGAGAATAAAAAGTCCTCATACATCTAGAAAAATTTGTTTTGTGTTGTTATCAAAAAAGAAACCAAAGTTTTCTCCCATACGATGCATCCAATCGAGCTCAATTTTTTTTTCTCCTTCAACATGTTGTTCTTACGAAATTCGGTAGCCTGTAAAGAAATTACTATCATTAAAAAAAACATGTTTTTCTTCTTGATGGTGTTTCCAGTATTTTGCTTCTCCTGAGTTCTATAATTTTTCATTGAGCCATTTCTGAGAAACTCCGAATTTTCTTCAGTCTCAATTTTCATTTTATGTGTAGATAAACTTTTTCTTTATCATCTTAAACTAAAATTTCTATAATCGTACTTCTTTGACATTCAAATATATCCAATTGAACAATACTACCGGGATTAAGACTTTCATAAATATGTATTTCATTAATAAATATTGGTGTTTGAAATGAAACAATTAAATATTCTTTTCGATTATTATTTGATAAAATCCATTCATTATGATTTTTATCTTTATCACCAAAATGAATATCTGTTGCTTGACATAATTTTTCAATACCAATATCTTTTGTAATACTATCTGAATAATTACATTTATATGAACAATATTCAATTAATTGAACCCATTGTTGATTAAGAATCATTGTATTTGAATCCTAAAAATAAATTAATCTAATATATGTATATATGTATATGATTTCTTTACGTTATTCATTTGGAATAGAATACTAATATATACAAAAAAGATTGGAATCGTTAGAGAATGATATTTATAATGACATTATTCTTTCTCAATCAATGTTAATAACACCAAGAAAAAAAATGAATGTAAATCAAAATCAACGAATCCCTGGAATATTTTATAACCAATCATTTTATTCTTTGCGATAGTTGTCACTAATAAAAGCC